GAGGCCCCACTTCGAATTCTGGCTGCTCTGCTTCCAGTGCAGCTTCCTGCTAATGAGCACCTGGGGAAGAACAGATGATGACTCAAGTACGTGGGTCCCTCCCACCCATGTGGGGGATCCAGGTGGAGATCTGGGCTCCTGGCTTTGGCCTGGTCCTGTCCCAGCTGTTGTAGGCATTTGGGAAGTGAACCAGCAGCAGGTAGAAGATCTCTCTCCATCTCCTTTATGTCTCACATAAGATTTAAATAAATAAAAAAAATAATAAAAACCTAAGGAAACCAGAGTAGACTCCGTGATGTAGACTGTTATGGTCTTATTGTTGTACAGTACTGTGTCATAGTTAAATAGCTTGGATTATATTTCCTGGAATTGTTTGGAATTAAATGACCTGATTCCGTCTTCCTGTTCTATAGATTAGGAAATGAAGCGTACAAAAGTGGCTTGGTTGACCCAAGAACACATAGCCAGCAAATGTCCGTGCCCAAAGTGGAGTCCGTGCCTCTCGATCTACTTAGACACATGCAGGTTGGCTCCAGGTGATCCATGAGCCGCTGTCCTCATGTCTTCCCCCTAAACCAGGCTGCTCTGTGTAGAGTCAGTGCCAAGTCCAGTTTAAAGGAAGGATGGGGGATTCTGACCGCTCTCTTCCTAACTCAGGCATGTGATTTCAGTTTGTGTTCAGGAAATTTATGGGCATCTAACAAATATATGCGTGTGTGTGTGTGTATTTGTCAGAGAGCTCTCCCAGCTGCTGGTGCACGCCCCAAATGCCTGCAATGGCCAGAGGTGGGCTGAGGCTGAAGCCAGAAACTGGAACTCAGTGCAGGTCTCACACGTGAATAGCAGGTGCCCAAATATTTGAGCCATCACCACTGCTTCCCAGGGTGTGCATTAGCAGGAAGCTGGAGTCGAGAATCAGAGCTGGGACTCAAACCCAGGTGTTTCAGTGTGGGATGTGGACATGTTCACTGCCAAGCTAAACGCCCACCCTAACGTTATTTCTAGCTGACCCTTGACTGTCTGTGAACGGTCAGGCCATAAAAAGCCGGGAGCTACAGCCTGGCAGGAGCTCCAGTCTGAGACCCTCATCCTACACTTGGGACTGAGGTCTGTTGAGGAGCAGTAAGACTGCATTGTTAAAGCTTTCCATGCTGCTGCTCCCCCCCCTCGCCCCCGCCCCCAGCCCGGCCTCTCAAGGATGTGCCAAGCATTGTCACAGCTTTCAAGTAGGACAGGAGTCAGTCCGCGTCTGTGTGTCAGTATTGCTGCAAGCTGGCGCGGCCATCCCCGTGCCGTGCACGGTGTGACAGAGAACACTGCCCGTGCACTGGAGGCAGGAGAACAGCGGAGTCGGGCAAGGTAAAGTGTGGACCCCTGGCTGTCCCAGGGTGTTGGCGGGGGCTTCTCAGTAGAGAGTACCCAGCAGGTTTTGTAAATAAGCTAATCTGACCCATCTGATCTGTAAGCTTCAGGAAGGCAAGCGTTAAGTCCTCACAGACCCACAAAGAGTGTCGGGAGAGTGACAAGAGGAACGTGTGTCCAAGTCTGGGACCTGCGACACGAACCAGTGCTGTCGGGCATCAGGATCTGCTGACCTGGAGTGGGGGGTTGTGGTTAAAGGGGTCGCGGGTCGGAAGGGGGTCTGATCTGTTTCTTTAACTGGGTGCTGGCTTCACAGTGTATTCGGTCTGTATAATTTCACTGAGTTTTATGCTTAAGTAAATGTGTTATTTTTTTGGACAGGTAAATTACACTTCAGTTAAAGTTTGAAAGTCCTTATTTGCATATGGTGTGGCACACTAGCCATCAGAAAAAAAAAATCTCCGTATACTTGAATCTGAAATGGTGCCAAGTTTATTAGTATTGCAAAGTCATCTCTACCTGGAGTTATCAGGGCTGTAGAGGCAGAACTTCTGAGGTCGGTTTTTTTGGTTCTGGTTACCTGTACCTTAAATTCCTTCAGTGTAGATTTCTTGAAATCAAGCATGATGTCACCTTCAGCAGACAAACGTTGATTGACAGCCTCCTGTGAAGAAGGGAGGGGTTCCCAGTGCGCTGGCTGCTGCTGTGGGCTCACCTCTCCCCTGAAGGAGCCTGCAGGCTGGGGGCGGGGGAGTTAAAGTATCCCCGGGGAGCTGGAGGTTGGCGCAGCGATTCAGACGCCAGTGCCTGGGCTTGAGTCCCACTTTGCTTCCAGTTCCAGCTTCCTGCTAATGCACATCCTGGGAGGGGACAGGTCATGGCCCAGGAGTTGGGCCCCTGCTGCCCACAAGAGAGACCCAGATGGAGTTCTGGGCTCCTGGCTTCGGCCTGGCCAAGCCCTAGATGTTGCACATACTTGTGGAGTGAACCAGTGAATGCTCTGTCTCTCACTGTCTCTCTGCCTTTCTTTGTTTCTTTCTTTCCTAAGGTTTATTTATTAATTTGAAAGGCAGAGTGACAGAGGGAAAGAGAGTTTCCATCCACTGTTCATTCCCTAAATGGCCTCAACAGCAAGGGCTGGGCCACGCAGAAGCCAGGAACCTGCAACACCATCAAGGTCTATACCGTGGGTAGATGAGTCCAGGCACTTGGACCATCTGCTGTTTTCCCAGAAACATTAGCAGGGAACTGGATCGGAAGTGGAGCAGTCAGGGCTGGAACCTGTGTTCTTAAGGGATACCAGCATTGCAAGCAGCAGCCTAACCTACTGATCCACAACCCTGGCCCCTTCTCCACCTTACGAAGATGAAAATAAATTTTGTTAAAGTGCCCAGATGAGTGATAAATGGAGAAGTCAAGTGTGTGCAAGGCACCGGGATAAGTACGCTTCATGGACAAAGAGGCCTGCAAAATGGATTGTAGAGAAGTTGTAGGATTCTGAAATCAGAATTGGGTAGGTGGTGGGCATTATAAATATCATAGATGTTGGGGCTGGCGCTGTGGTGCAGCAGGTTAAAGCCCTGGCCTGAAGCGCCGGCATCCCATATGGGCGCTGGTTCTAGTCTCGGCTGCCCCTCTTCCAATCCAGCTCTCTGCTATGGCCTGGGAAAGCAGTGGAAGATGGCCCAAGTCCTTGGGCCCCTGTACCCATGTGGGAGACCCAGAAGAAGCTCCTGGCTCCTGGCTTTGTATCTGCACAGCTCCAGTCATTGCAGCCATCGGGGGAGTGGACCAGTGGATGGAAGACCTCTCTCTCTGTGTCTCTACCTCTCTCTGCTTTTTAAATAAATAAAATAAATCTTTTAAAAAAATATCATAGATGTGAGAAAGACCCATAGAAGATGTGTGTATTTTCTGGGAGCTTTGGGGTATATGGCTCACTTAAGACGAGTGACATGTGTTAGGTCCAGCCAAGGACTGGGCTTAGCTAGGGCTCACGGTGGCCAGTGTGTGCTTCCTTAGGGAGGCAGTGGGGAGCCTAATGAGAGGCGGGGCAGCGTGACCAGATCTGGTATCTCCAGTAAAATCAGGTTTCCCACCTCGGTGATTCTACGCTTACCATTAATTCCCCACAAGGAAGGTTTTCTAGGCTCCGTGCGTGCCTTGTTGCTCTGATTTAAACCCGTGCCCCTTTGGATTCCCTGCCGAGCCGCCCGTGCGTAGCCTCCCTGCGTTCACCCGTGTGCACCAGGGGAGGTCACAGTCCGCTTCCTTCCTCACTGATCTGTTGTCTCGTCTCCAGTGATCTGCACGCCTTTCCTTGCATCCCTCCCTGTGTGGTGCTCTTCTGCCAGACAAAGCAAAACCTGTGCCTTTCACTCTGAGCAAAGTCGTGTGGTGCGGGAAGAGGGGGCCGAGAACCGTGAGCAGACTTTGTGAGCTGGGAAGGAAGCCTGAGCGGCGGTGTGGGCTTGTGTCCACGGACCCTCCGGGCTGAGGGGCGGGGCGATTTACCCTGCAGTGGAGTCCCCGAGTCTGGGTGCCCCAGACCCGGGAGGCCTGTTAACGTCTTTGCTGATTTTTTTTTTTCTGTTACCAGCCTTCCAATCCCTAAGAGGGAGAAAGGCTAATGTGCTGAACATTGTCTCATCTCCCCTTCGGTTGCTGCTAAGCCCCCCCTGTTTGGACCTTACTGTATTCTCAGAGGGTTGTTACCTTGCCAGACAAAGACACCTCAGTTTAGATCTTGGTGATCACTGTTGGGAGGTTGTGTTGCAAGGCCACGAAGACCCCCTGTGCATCCTCTGAGGACAGAAGTGAGTAGACTGTCCCGATGTGGAAAGTGGAGGAGAGTCGGAGTCACCTGGGCTCAGATCTCAGATGTTTTACTTTCAGTTCCTGGATGTTTACAGGTTTGACACATCTGTTACAGCCGCATCGATGAGGTCAAGCAAGATAGCCTGTGGGGGCGGAGGGGGTGGGAAGTCCCTGGAATCCACCGCACCTGCTGACCCGACCTTTCCCTTGAGAGCGCGAGCTTGCCACCCCCTTGCCCGACACTCAGTGCTGCCCTGGGCGGAAGGCTGTGTCACGTGTCTTAGCAAAGCGTGGTTCCTCTGTTCTTTGCATCACCATGGAGTGATCGGGGGTGATTTGTTTCCATATCTACATTCTATTGTTGTAATTGCTCGGTTATTGAAATTAATCTCGCACCATATTGTTCTGTCACATCTGCTTAATGATTCCATTAAGAAAAGGATTTTCTTGCATGATAGATGTTCTTGCTGGAACTTTATTTCTTTTTCCTTGTTTCACCCCCTTTTTGTCAAATGAGTGAGTTCCGAATGGTGCGTGGCAGGTGTCCCAGTTACCTGGGCCCTTGGGAAGGGTGACTGGTGACCTCATTGCATTCCGCGCTTCCCACCCTGGCAGCCGGCAGACACTGCCTCAGCAGGTGGAAAAGCCGACAGCCTGGGAGCTCTGCCCCTCACGGCTCCTTCTTAGCGTACGTGTCCACCTCCAGCCCGCAGGGACGGCCGCGGGCTCTTGTCCTGTGACACCTGCGGTGTGGGGTGGGTGTGTGGAGAGCCTGCCTCCACGAGCTCGGGTTGAAAGTGCGTCTTTGCCATCTCTTGCAGGTGGAACGTCATGACATGAATACCTTAAGCCTGCCCCTGAACATCCGCCGCGGGGGGTCGGACACCAACCTGAACTTTGACCTTCCGGATGGCGTCCTGGACTTCCACAAGGTCAAGCTGGGCGCAGACAGCCTGAGACAGAAGATCTTGAAGGTGACGGAGCAGATCAAGATCGAGCAGACGTCTCGGGACGGGAACGTGGCGGAGTATCTGAAGCTGGTCAACAGCGCAGACAAGCAGCAGGCAGGCCGCATCAAGCAGGTGTTCGAGAAGAAGAACCAGAAGTCAGCGCACTGCATCGCCCAGCTGCAGAAGAAGCTGGAGCAGTACCACCGCAAGCTCCGTGAGCTCGAGCAGAACGGGGCCTCCCGGAGCGCCAAGGACCCCTCCAAAGACAGCCTGAGGGACATCCAGCACTCCCTGAAAGATGCCCACGTGAAGTCCCGGACGGCTCCCCACGGCATGGAGAGCAGTAAGTCGGCCATGCCGGGTGTGTCCCTCACTCCCCCCGTGTTCGTCTTCAACAAGTCCCGGGAGTTCGCCAACTTGATCCGGAACAAGTTTGGCAGCGCCGACAACATCGCTCACTTGAAAACTTCCTTAGAGGAGTTCCGGCCGGAGGCGAGCGCCAGGGCCTACGGGGGCAGCGCCACCATCGTGAACAAACCCAAGTACGGCAGTGACGACGAGTGCTCGAGCGGCACGTCAGGCTCGGCCGACAGTAACGGGAACCAGTCATTCGGGGCCGGGGCCGGGGCCGCCGCCGGCCCGCTGGACAGCCAGGGGAAGCTCGCCATGATCCTGGAGGAGCTGCGGGAGGTGAAGGAGACGCAGGCGCAGCTGGCCGAGGACATCGAGGCGCTGAAAGTGCAGTTCAAGCGGGAGTACGGCTTCATCTCCCAGACCCTGCAAGAGGAGAGATACAGGTACTGCACGGTGCCCTGCCGGGATTCCTCGGGCAGCGTGCTGATGGCTGTGTGTTCAGCAAGGGCTGGTGCGCGTCTGGCTCAGGAGGCACCGGGGGAGGATCCGTAGTTCTGTCCATCCCGCACGATTGTTAACTGTGCCTTCCAGCTGACAGTTTAGCAGACGTTACACACGTGGGTCTGTTAAAATGTCACCGTAGGCTGTGACCAGCTTGCCTGTTAAGATCCGGATTCAGCAGACTGCTGTTACAGCCCCATTACGCTAATTCACAGGTCTGTGTTGGATGGTCCTCCCTAATAAGTAAGTAAAAAGCTAATTCATGGTCGAGCAAGGTGGATTTTATTTGGTATGTCAATCTTGAAATCTTAATATACTGCATTTTTCTAAGGTACTGTAATTTACCCTAAATGAAGTTTTCAAAAGCTACCCTCAGATTGACATATACTTGAGTTATATCAGCTAATTTAAAAAAAAAAAAAAAGTGTTTTTTTTGTAGGCTGACTCTTATGTGCCTATAACATTAAGTGTACGTGCTCAGATATAAGGTGATTTTTTTTCCAGTGAAAAGATCCCCCAGAAGTTTGTTGGACGGAGAGAATACATTACACTCTAAGAATGTGTGTAAAATAGTGAAATGCCCATGACATATTTTAACCTTTACCTTTTACATTTAGTTTGCACGTTGCTTTATAATTGACGAATAATTGTAATTTAGAGACGTAGCTTTTCCGTCTCCCAAGTTTCTGATCTTTCCTTGTGCGTGCTCGGGCTCTGTGTCACAGTGGAGCTGTGCTGGAGGAGTTGCAGCTTTTCCGGGGAGTGTTGACTTCAATTTCATCCAAATGCTGTAGGATGCAGCACTTTGTATTTTATCCCAAGCCACAGATACCCACTTACATGCACGTAGGGCAGTTTTAATCATTTTTATTTGTCCCGTAGTTCTGTTTGTGGTCCCCGTGATATAGCCACTTAACTATTTTACTGTTTAAGGCCTTTGAGATAGTGACTTTGTCTGTAATAGCACTGACATTTGGCCTGAGACTCGTCCCTAAATCACATTAAGCTCTCATGCCTCCTTTTTAAAAATGATTCTATCAGATGACCTATATAAGCAACTAAAACTGGCATTGGTCAAAGCCGCTGCAGGCTGATGCCTCTCCCCGAAACAGGGCATCCTGTTGCAAAGCAGACCTTGTGAGGTCTCAACATATAAGACAAATCCTCTTCCCTGACGAGGGGCCAGCGGGGGAATGGGAATCTTTGAATATCTGTGTTTTTTTTAGATTTAGGCCTTTGAAAATGCCCTATGATGAGCCACCTGCAATTCGTCTCAAGCTCCATTTCTTGTTGGCCCTTAAGCTCCAAGGGGGTGTGCACAGGGGAAGAGAGGAGTTGGCTGCAGAGTAGAAGCTGGTACTAAATGCATGCTTCTCTCCTCATTGGCTGCCCGCCTCTGCAGCCCTGCATACTGTGGGGGAGCAAGGAGCCACCGCAGGTGCAGGGGGCCTGCCCTGAGCAGGAGCCTGCACAGCCGGCTCCAGACTGGCCCAGGCGAATGGGGTTGGTCACGGGGTCTGTCCTGTTACCACAGATGGCTTGTGGAGCCAGCCCGACGCCAGAATCAGATCAGGTTTGCCTGCTGCTCAGCAGTGAGGCCAGAGGGTTCAGGTTGCCGAGACCCAGCCCCCCCAGAGCTGGAGTGCAGGGTTAGCCAAGAGTCAGACTCACTCTGGGGAAGTCAGTCTGCCCGGGGGATGAGAAACAGCCCAGGTTTGCTGGCGAGCAGGCATAGGACAAAGAGGACGTCGGCATGGAAGGTGCCCATTAGACCCAGGAAGCACCACTGACGCTCAGAATCCGCCCCTGTCGTTGTCAGGTACGAGCGCCTGGAGGACCAGCTGCATGACCTGACGGACCTGCACCAGCACGAGACGGCCAACCTGAAGCAGGAGCTGGCCAGCATCGAGGAGAAGGTGGCCTACCAGGCCTACGAGCGCTCGCGCGACATCCAGGTGCACAGAGCCTCCCGCGGGTGCTCGCCGGGCTTGTGCTCACGGAGCAAGCCGAGGGCCCTCCCCTGCGTCCCAAAGGCCCTAGGGCACGGGGACGAAACAGTTTCTCGCTCAAACCCTCCTGGGACAGCCCCACTAGGTCTTGTTACAGACGCGACCATCTCCATTACTACGCCCCTTACGCCTCCTGCCTCAATCACTTAGCAAGTATCTGTCATCCACCCCAAGCACATCACCACCGCAATTTTTTATATGCGACCCATTTTGCCTTCAAGGAGCTCACTGCCAAGGTGAGGACCGGCTCACCGGCCAGGCAGCTCCGCACCACATGAATGAGAGCCAAAGTCTGTGCACAGACTGCACAAGCCACAGACCTGGGGTTGCTGCCCGGCGCTCAGCACACCGGGGGCTGGTAGGGCAGTGAGTCAGCCAGGGCTCAACCCGGGGGCCTTAGTCGCCAGGCTGCCGGTTACCTGCCATGAGGCCCGGAGCAGGTCCCTGTGACACAGGGGCTCCCCTCCTTACGAGGGTTGCAGGCACTGGAATGCGTCCTGCGAGCCAGCCTCTGGCAAATGCTGGTCTCTGGTTTTCCCATTCACTCCGCAACAGTGCTGTTGGTTTGTTCCTGTTATCCCCCCTTCTTAGAGGCGGAGCTGAGGTGGAGCGAGGTTAAGCAGCCTGCACAGTGTGGTCTTGCGACCGCCCTTGAGGGAAGAGTGTGGCTGAGCGTCCTGCAGGAGGCAGGGCTGGGGAGGCGCCGAGCGGGTGGGAGGAAGGGGGTTGCTAGAGCAGTTTAGACACGGGCACCGGCCGGGACTGCGGCTGGAGCTGCTGGGGTGCCACCCTGGGCTTCGCGGTCACCTTTGGGAAAAACGTACGCGCTCCTCGGGGAGTGCTGAGCTTCGTTCTCAGGGACGTCCGTCGGAGACACTGAGCACCTTCCGTTCCACGCGGGCCGTGCACGGGACGAGGCAGGACATGAAATACAAAGGTGGCAGTTCCTAGGTGGGGGGCTTGGCGCAGTGGGTAATATGCCGCTGGGGGTTGCCTGCATCTGCTCTCAGGGCACCCGGGTTCCAGTCCCAGCTCTGCTTCCTGCCACTGCGCGTCCTGGGAGGCAGCTGGGATGGCTCAGGCGGTTGAGTCCCTGTTCCTCGTGGGAGAGACCCAGGTTGAGGTGCGACTCCTGGCTCCGGCTGGCCCAGGCCTGCCTGTGGCAGGCATGTGAGGAGTAAACCAGCAGCTGGAAGATCTGGGGCCGTGCCTGTCTCTGTCTGCTTTGCGTGACTTCTCACACAGTGTGTGGGCTGGGGTTTGGACCGCTGTGTCCTGGGCTGGTTCCTGACGTTCTGACAACCAGAGCACCCGAGCAGACGGGAAATGCGGCCCCCGGAGAGTGTGGTGCAGGAGACGCCCGGGGGACGGGTGGCTCTGCTCTCGGTTAGGACACGTGGCCTCACCGGCCCCAGGTCCAGGAAGACAGAGCCTGCTGGGAGTGTCCAGTGGGGCCTGCACAGAGCACGGTGGTTCTCTGGCTCGCTGTATGGTGGAGCCGGCCTGGGGAGTCGCTGCGTGCCATCTGAGTGGCCGGTCGTCTTCTGTGGGGCACAGTTCCATTCCTGTTGTTCTGTTAAGCACGCCGTAGGGGTGGGGAGGTCAGACGAAGGGAAGGACTTCACAGAGGGAACTTAAAGGTGAAGAGCTCACTTGGGGCGTTTTCGGGTTCAGTCTCGAGGTCAGAGTTGCAAAGAGAGCCTCGGTGTCACGACCCAGGGGTCTCTGTTGTCTCGGTCAGGGTTTCACCCCTGCTGCTTACGCCTCTTCTTGGCGACCTTGGCTGAGCTAACTCTGCGGGCCTCAGCGTCATCTGCAAGATGGAAATATCAGGGAGTCCTGTTGGCAAGCTTACGTGGTTAATGCATACAAAGCACTTAAGTTTTTGCCTGACACCTAATAAAGAGCCAAAAACCAAGGCTGGCTGCTCTTTTACTTTACTTTATTGGCTAATCGGTGTTCCTGCGGGGGCTTTTCAGCAGTTGGGTCTGCTCAGCTTCCTTGTTACCGTTCATTTCTGCTGCTGTTACAGGCAGGATGGTGGCCCAGGCTCAGCCGTACAGATGAGGTGGGCAGTCGCTGCCGGAATGCAAGGGTTCTGTTGTTCAAGCAGTTGAGCTTCTTTTTATTTATTCATTATCATTTCATCTGAGACAAAGGTCTTCCACCTGCTGGTTTCCTCCCTCAGTGCCTGCAATGGTCAGGACTGGGCCACACTGGAACCAGGTTTCACATGGGTGGCAGGAACCCCAGAATTTCAGCCATCACCTGCTGCCTCCCAGGGCACACGTTAGCAGGAAGTTGGAGGTGGAGCCGGGATTCCAGCCCACTCATTCCAATATAGGATGCAGGAGCCTTAACCTGCTGCACCAAATGTCCAGTCTAGCAATTTTTATTATTATTATTGTTACTGTTCACCCTGAACTCTCTCTCGGTTAAGTGTTTCAAGGCAATCCCTTGTCTGTCCTCATCCTCTGCTGAGTACTGGATCCAGAGAAGTACTAAACACTGCGAGGCTGAACATTCCTGGTGCTCTCACTAAAACTCCCTGCAGTTCACTGCTTGATTCTCCTTTTTTTCTTTATTTTTTGTGAAAAAATTTGCAGTTTTGAAACAGTTCTAGATCAGTGCCCTTGTATATGTAATTCGTCCACCCAATCACATGTTAATGACTTGGCCTAAAATGTAAAGATTTTACATCATTCGGTCACCTCCTGGGTGCCGTGCCTGACGGTGGAAATTTGGGGCCCGACTAACAGTAAAGGAGGCCTGATTTCTGGGTGCGCACCTATGGCTGCGGAAAGCCAGCGCCGTGGAGGGCGTGCAGATCTGAGCCAGTCCTGGCCTGTGGTTGGACGTGTCGAAGAAGGAAGGTTACTGTAGTAACAGGGAGCCCCGTGGTTTGGCCCACTGAGTACATTCAGCGGAAGCAAAGCGGATCGGAGTTGGAGTCATGAAGCTTCCTGTGTCTCACTTGAGCAAACCCACAGTGGCAGAGGAGTCAGCAGGCTGGTAAGCTCACAGGGGCTCACGGTGCTCCCTCCGCTCAGCCGTCTCCTCCCCAGAGGCTCAGGGGCTCTCCTCTGTCGAGTGTCACATCCTGTCACTCGCACCCGATGGCTTTCATCCCCGCCAGTGTGTGGCACCTGCTCTGTGCTGGAGAGAGAGGCTGGACAGATGGGCCTAGAGCCTGTCCTCGTGCAGCTTCTGTGTCTCGTGGCTGGGAAGATGGGAGGGAGACAGGGCCAGATCCGAGGGGTCCGGGAAGGCTTCCCTCAGGCCCTGACCATCAAAGTGAGCCCTGGAAGAGCTGCAGGTAGAAAGGGCAGGGTACGCGGTGTGTGCAAAGGCCCTGATGTGGACACAGGCTATTTTCAGAATTTGGAAAAGGCCAGTTTGACCAGAGCACTGAGAAAGCAACAGCGGCCAAGCCTGTGCCGTCAGCAAGGGCTCCAGGGGCCATGCTGATGGGTTTGAAAGGTCTTAGGAAAAGGAGTGAGATCTCAGATGCGCCTTTAAAGAGCACGCGGGCTGCTGTGTGGAATACGGGTTCCTAGGGTTGGGAAAGGAGGTGTGGAGGAATTCACGCAGGCTGCGCAGGCAGGACAAGCCGGCCTCTTAGGCCGTGATGGAGACTGGACGGAGAGAGGGAAGGTGGGAGCAGACGCTGGATGTTGCATGGACGGGGCTGGGGGTGGGATTGCAGGAGCGCAGGGCGGAGGGATGCCTGCAGCTGTGACAAACCAGTGCTGGTTCCTGAGAATAGGAGGCCTGGAGAGGACACAGGGCTGGCTGCAGGTGCCCCAGCTGTGTGATCCCCACCTGCACATGGCATGCGCTGTGTCGGGGGTGTCAAGGAGGCAAGTGCCTCTGAGTCCATCTCAGAACAGATGGGGGGCTGGAGGCACGTTCAGGGCCCTCCGTGCTCCAGTCATTGTGGGCTGGGGACACATGAGGGCCGGAGTGTCCCAGGGTGAACCGAGCCCCCCCACCCGGCCCCATCCCTCGCCGGACACAGACTCAACAATGGCAGTGAGGACTAGCTGGGGCAGGTAGCAGATGCCCCAGCTCAAGCCAGCTCTCTTTCCACGGCACCCTTGTGTCCCTGATGGCTAGTATTTCATGTCACTGTATTCCAAATGCAGGTGGAGTCAGAAAAAGTAAGCCCGCCTTCTCGCTTCCGGCATGTCACGGCTGCATGTGCCCGCACCCCTCTGGAAGGAGCCTTGGGGTTCTGGTGTTTGCATCAGGCGCCCCAGTCTGGGAGCGCCGGGGCCCACGATCCCAGCAGCCTTTGATGCACGCTCTCCCTCTCGCCCACAGGAAGCCCTGGAGTCGTGCCAGACGCGCATCTCGAAGCTGGAGCTGCACCAGCAGGAGCAGCAGACGCTGCAGACGGACGCCGTGAACGCCAGGGTCCTGCTGGGGAAGTGCATCAGCGTGCTCCTGGCCTTCATGACGGTCGTGCTGGTGTGTGTCTCCACCGTGGCCAAGTTTGTCTCGCCCATGATGAAGAGCCGCTTCCACATCCTTGGCACCTTCTGTGCTGTGACTCTGCTGGCCATATTTTGCAAAAACTGGGACCACATCGTGTGTGCCCTGGAAAGGATAATAATACCGAGATGAGGCCCCGCTTCCCCGCCGTCGAGTTCTTGGAAGGTTTTGTTTTAAAGAGAACTCTGTGCACTCTACCAAATCTTAACGCGGACGGTTGCGCTGTGTGAAGACGCCCAGAAGTGGTGCGCGGCTGCGTGGTGTAAATAATTCCAGTGCTCTGAACTGGGCTGCAGCCGCCGGCGCAGTCCCCGTGCTTGGCTCCCGTGAACCTGGCTCCGAGCGCTCCCCACCTCGCCCACTGCCTTAATCAGACCAGGTTCCCTGTCCACCTGAGCAGCCCAGCTCGGTGCAGCTGTGTCCAGTGAGCACTAGGCATACTTAGTGATGCAAAACAATGTGTGTGTGTGTGTGTGTCTCTATCTATCTGGAATCCCTGTCGAAATTCAGCTTCACTCTTGCTAATGTAATAGTTGCGTCTTCCCTGGGCCCTGAAGCAGCAAGGATATGACACGATATGGGGCGGTGAGAAGCACAGGTGGTGGTGGTGGTGGTGGTGACGCTGTGGCCTGCGGGGGTATAATAATCCCTGTGTCTAGGTCTGTGGGTCCCGCTGTGGCCCCAGCAGCTGTGTCCTCAGCAGCCGGTCGTGTGCAGGCCCTTGCACCTGTTTATCCACCGAGTACAGCAAACAGGACTGGCGCCTGCGGCTTCCCCAGGGCGCCACACCGCCGAGCTCATCCTACCTGGCTGCAGAGGCCTTCAGACAGGCACACGATGCTCGCAGCGCCTCGCCGTGGCCTGAGCAGCGAGCTGGGGTCCTGGGGCACCGCTCAGGAGGTTTGTGCTTCGGCAAATCTCAATTACAATCACCCCCCACCTCGAGGAAGTGATTCTCTGTGATTCGCTTGCTTGCCAGGGCTGTGAGCGATTGCGCAGCCTCCCAGCGAGGAAGTGGGAACAAACCCAGGCTCGTGTTGGGCTTTTCTTCCCTGAGGAAGGGCGTGGGAGTGGGAGCGGATGAAGCCCCAGCGCAGAGGCAGGCGCGGCAGAAGCACGAGGGAATGGGACGTCTGCTCTGATTGGACGGGGGATGGCGAATGCCTGTGAGCGCCTGGCCCCGCCAAGGTTTGAGCAGCTCCTCTCGGGGCTGTGGAAGGCCAGTGAGAGCAGCCTACACTGAATCCCGTGTTTGATGCAAGGTTACCTTGTGTTCCCTGGGATCATCGTGAAAGGCAGCCCCGAGGGCATAGGGTGACCACACTGCCACGCAGGGGGAGCGGTGGCACCTAGCAGCTCTGCCCACCTTGGGGGCACCAGTCTCTGCCTTCAGCCCCCGTGATGCCTCCTGGGAGTCTGTTTCTTAGTGTGCAGGTGGAGGATCTGAAAGCCTGCTCCCCGGCTCCTCCCGCTGCTGAGGGTGTAAGATGCCCATTCGCGTGCATCTTCTCCTGGAAGCCATCAAACTTCCCCAATTTAAATTCCGTGCAATATTTTGCTCTCCACTGTTCTTTGGGACATCTCTTGGAGAAATGTGACGGGGTGCCCGGGGTGGGAGAGGACCGAGTGGTTGGGCGTTCAGTGTAAGTGAGACTCTCACAAGGTACGCCTTCTGTTTTTGAGGTGTCTGATTTATCAGTGGTTCAGCCGTCACCACTAGTGCCAGTCTCAAGCTTTTTAAAACAACAAATGTCCTTGCAGGAAATCTTTGGTAATAAGGATTCTGGGAAGAGGGAGTTCCTAGTGCCACCTCCGTGAGCAGGGCCACGTCCTGTCACTGTCAGACTCTCCCAGGTGGACTGAGTATTCACTGTGAGGTGTCAAATCCACGAGGCAGATAGGGCTCCAGGTCCGGAGAGGAGAGGAGAGCGCATGGCCCATCTCTTCTTGCCTTTGTTAGTCAGGGCTGTCAGGCACAGGTGGGTTGAGAGCCCTTGAATCCAACCAGGGCCTGGGTGGGCTGCTTCCTATTTGTGAACCTTCCTGAGGGCTGCGTTGGGCAAGCCAGGGTTTGGGTGGTTGTAGACACGGCTGTTAGTTGAGAGTGAGTGAGTGAGATTTGTAGCTCTTGAGGGTGAAGGGCTCTGGGAGGACCGAGAATGGCTAATTCTCGTGGCACCATGCTCCGCTCCATCACACGGCATGGCCAGCTTGCTGTGAGCACACTCCAACCTGCGACCAGTGGGAGATGCAGTGGTGAGGAGGGGAAGCTGGGAATGCCACCCCGCGGTCGGAGCTGGTGGCACCTGCTGGAACCCCGCCCGCTTCTGAGGTAGCGTCGGCTCTCACCCCTGCTACCTGTTGATGGAAACCCCTCTGCAGGAACTCACCTGTTCATTCGGAAATGTTTTCGCTTGGGTATGCACGGCCTCTGCGCAGCATATTTTACAGTTGTGTGGAGAGTTCGTGAAGCTTTTTAATAAGACAGTAGAATGCAAGGAGGTTTGTACCCTCTGCAGTTTATTTTTCTCTGAATAACCCCCTACTGCCTGTTCTCTTCAGTGCGTAAGGAGATAAATTTTATAAATTAAAAATGGTAATAGAGCTACAGCATATTCTGGAATTGGGAATTTCATTTACATTTAAGTCAGCTAATCCTCCTCCTGCCCCTCTCGATGGTGGTAAGCATTGTGCATGCCTGCTGAAGACAGCCCATTGCTGGACAGCCAAGCACCCAGCCGGTCACTCGGGGAGCGCTGCCGACCTGGGCTAGCACTGGATTTTATCACTGGGACAGTGATAGTTTGTCGAAGGCAAAACAAAAACCTTAAAAAAAAAAAAAAAAAAGACTTTGCTCTGTGTTTTACAGTTGGTTATTTTAGCTCGTATCCTGAGTGGCATTAAGCCAGAACAGAATCCTCCACTCCCCAGAACTCAAACCCGCCATGAAACAGTCGCTCAGAGTCGTCCATCTCTGCCGGGGACTGGGAACACTGGGCAAGTCCCAGCGTCCAGCGTGGGAGGGTGTGGACTGGCCGACGTGACCCCCTCGTCTGCCGTGATCCTGCCACCCTGATCCATCAGCATTCGGGGAGTGCGGCCTTTCTCCACCTGTAGCTCTTACTTTCTTGTGATACTGTTCCACTCTAGAGAGAGGGTCCTTGAGAAAACTGTGAGAGAATGGAATGAAAAAATAAGTTTATTTTGGTGCATAGTTTTGTTGAAATCCACGCATAGCTTTTTTTTAAAATCATACCTATTTTCCACGAACTTCCTAAAGAACCGGGGATGGATTGCCCTGCCATTTCTTCAGCAAGTCAGGCTTAATTATGAGTTCAACAACTCACTACTTTTGTCCTTTCGGGTTGGATTTTAAATACCAAATTGTTTGGCGTTGGATAGGGATGTTTTTGTCTGCGATTCAGATATAATTGTATTGGTTTGGAAAAAGGTTAAGTGTGTTTCTTATTATGGCCATGTGTGACTAAACAACCTATTTTGCATGTTTTTATAACTAGGAGGAGTGGGCTGGGGTAGGGAGAAATGACGCTGCTTAAAATTCAGGGCTTGTTTGGAGCTCCGTGTTTGCTGAAGTGTCACACACTCAGGATGGGGTGGGTCTGTAACACTGAGGCTGGCCTGTTAGAGATAAAAAAAAAAAAAAGTACAGTCAACAGGAGCTTGGTAACCCTTAAGATATAAAGCAGAACTAACCTGTAATTTTCTGAAGCCGATACAATTCTGTGTTTATATAAAGCTGGAAAGTAATGCACCTTGATTGTTTTAGGAATGATGTATGTCTTGCCATTTTAATTTATTTAAAGCATGTCTATTCTGTTTGTCCTATGAGAAATGTTTCAACAAAACATGCTCTGTGTGTTGAAGGTATGCTTAGGCAATAGTCAGGAGCTCTGAACCTAGAAACTGGAAATGTTTCTTGTGAGGTCCGTGGCACAATTTCCATTTTGTAGGGTAGTCCGTAGTCTCACATCAGCCTGAAATTGCCATTTCTCTGTAGATCGTCACCCTGTGATGGTATCATCAATGAATTCAAAGCAGGTGCCATTATTTTTTTAAATAAACACTCAATGTTAGCTTTGGTGTTAAATAAAGAATTAGATTTCTTAAATTTTCACATTGGTCAGCCCATTTCATTGGTGTGTGTGTGTGTGTGAGAGAGAGAGAGAGAGAGAGAACGAGAGAGACCCTGTGCTAGTCAGAGCTTGGAATGTCCTAGTGTTGATGACGAAGGCAAAGCAGAGCCCTGAGCTGGAACGCAGAAGACAAGCAAGGCCACCTCAGGGGTGTCCAGGACCGGGCACCGTGGTGGGCAGTCCCTGCTGACTTGAACAGTCTTTTTAGTGGGGTCTCTCTTGTTTGTATGGTGCTTGCTTGCTCTGCTCTTTTCTTTTTTCTTTTATTTTATTACAAAGCAGTTTATTTTGGTAGTGTGTGGACTCATCGTAACCAGTCTAATGGATGCCGGTACCATTCTCCGTATGTGTTGCTGACTGAAGGTTAGACACATGCGGCTCCCAAGGTCGTCGCCAGGAAGGAGGCAGGCAGCACTCTGCCTTTTCCCCATCCTGCTTTCTGCTTCCGGTCAGCTCCATGTCCTGAGCAGTGTTCTCCATTGCTTGTCCAGCACTCACCCTAAAAAATGAAATAGAATTTCAGATGATAGAAAAGTTCTTAACCACATCTACCCTGGAAAACAGGGTGTGTGTGAATCTGAAAAGTTTATGGGACACAGCTATTACTTTGGGTACTTCCCCTCTGATGTTTGAAGATGTCAGTACAGAAAATGAAGTGACTGGATTACAGATGTGTATTCAGTCCAACGTGTTCCCAGATGTTGCTTTGTGAGAATACCTTCCCAACTCTGTGCTTCCCTGGGGAGGAGGGAGGGAGGGAAAAAAGTTTGATTAGTTGAGTTCCAGCTACGGATGGAAGAGACTGCTAGAGACTAAATGGACTTTAGGATAAGAAAAAGCCACCTTCTCCATCTGAGAAGCTCCATACTCACAAAATAGCTTTAGGAATATATTTTTTTAAGATTTGTTTATTTGGAAGGCAGAGTTACAGAGAGAGACAGAGAGAGGTCTTCTGTCTGCTGGTTCACTCCCTAAATGGCCGCAGCAGCCAGAGCTGGGCTGATCAGGAGCCAGGAGCTTCTTCCAGGTCTCCCACACAAGTGCAGGGGCCCAAGGACTTGGGCCATCTGCTGCTGCTTTCCCAGGCCAGAGCAGAGAGCTGGATCAGAAGAGGAGCAGGCGGGACTCGAACTAGCACCTGTATGGGATACGGGCACTGTAGGTGGAGGTTCAGCCCACTATACCACAGCGCCGGCCCCTAGGAGTATTTCATAATAGCTTTTCTTAATTTACAATCTTGAGATTGCAGACTATCTACAGCCCTCCTACAGTTATTTTTCTAAGATGACCATGAGGTGTAGACATCTATGGGACACATAAGGACCAGGGTAATAGATGGCTCCTTTCTAGGTGTCCATAGATGCAGAAAACACCTGTGGATATATTAAATAGGATCCCCCGACACCCTATCAGGCACAATATATTGTCCCTGCTTAATGGACAAGGACACAGGTTCAGAGTGGTTAAATAACCAGAAGGGGTAGGGGACTTGTTGGTGCAGCCCCAAGCCTGTGTGACTTGAGCCTGCCCTGGTCAGCGCTACCCTGCACCACAGTAGCAAGCACTGGGCTTCTTGTCACTCCATGGCTTCAAACGCCAACAAGGCAGACGACTCTTCTGGAACCATAGAAGGCATCACTTGCTCCCCGGGGCCAGAGCAGTCAATACTGTGGTTACAAATGGAGCGCTGACCCCTGGTGCCACTGACCACCCGCAGTGGGGCCTGAGGCACCTGCAGCTGACACCCCAGTCTGTGAACAGCCGTGGCTTGATGGATTTGTGGATGGAGGGAATCTAAAGCGATCAATTAAAGAAACTTCACACTCTTCCCCGGCTTCCTGAGATTCTCGGGGTCTTTGGCAGTTGGCGGGACAGAATATTTCTCAGCTTTTGTGCTTAGCTCTGAGACGTTGGAGTCCCTGGTGACTTCAGCTCTGAGCTCCGTGCCATCTGCTACCATCTGTGGTGGCTACCTCGGAACTCTCTCCTTGCTCAGCCAGCCAGGCCTCTGCCTTGATGGAAGCAGTTAGCAGGAACAAGCTTCAGCCGTGTTAACAGCTGTTTTCTTGGTGCTTGCTCTGCTCTGGCCTAGCCACTGGGAATCGGACTTTTTTTTTTTCTTCTGTTCCACTTAAAAGAAAGAGACTGAGTAGCAGACAGAGTGAAGCCATGCCTTGGTGTGTGCTAGTCCGTAAGAACTGCTTCTGCTCAAGTAGTTTTGCACAGAGGCCTGGATTCTCCTCTGATGCTCAGACGCCCATGTCACACGCCGTGTTGCCAAGCCAGGCTTCTGCCGGCTGTTCCTCTCTATTGTAATTTGATTTCTCGCACCCGATTTCCCCTGTGGCTTGAAGCCCTGACCCTTTTCTGTGGCTGCACAAAACAGTGAAATTTAAGACCCCAGCACTTTGGCGGCCGCAGATGGGGTGTGTGTACCACCTCCCCTAAGCAGTGCTCAAGCTAACCGGGACTCAGACTCGGACCTGGATTTGCAGGGCGTGGCTTCCCACAAGCATCACCGTCACAACTGTTGCACTGTGCAAACAGCCACGCAAGATGTCTGTGAAAATCCTGGATGGGGTGGGAGTGGAGGAGGGCCATTGTTAGTCATTCAGTGGGTCATGAGCCTCGAAGGACACGTGGAGGCTGCTGGCCGGCTCTCTTGGTGAGCGGGAGAGTGAGCAGTGCTGTGTCCCGGTCCGGCTGGGGGCGGGGGTCTCCTGCACAGCTGCAGTGAGGCATGGGGTATCCGGTCCACAGGGCACATTCAAGGCCTCCCTGAGAGTAGCCATTGTGCTGGAGGCTGGACCTTTCCCCTGGGGCCAGACTGGGCTCTCCAGCTGGCCAGACTGTGTCAGCCCCCGGCCTGCAGCTGCCTGTATTTGAATGCAAATTGCTACATTGTTGGGTTGTTGTATTTTGTTGAATGGTCACCCAATAAACCAATAGAGTAGGTTCTCAATCTACCCCCTCCCCACAAGGCATGTGCAAGGGGAACTTTCCCTTGACTGAGGATGGTATTTAACCTCTCATAATCCCTTTTCTAAAACTGTTGCCTTCCCAAGGCTTAGATAAGGTTTAGATGGGAGAAAATGCCTAGAACAGGGCCTTCGGTCATTCCATGTGCTTACTGAACACCTACCATGTGCCAGCTACTGTTCTGAGCAGAGTACAAAACAGGGTTTCTGTCTTCAAGGTGGTTACATTCCAGTGGGAGAAGATAGGTGGAAGAAAATTAGAAGCGGCCGGCCCCGCAGCTCAATAGGCTAATCCTCCGCCTGTGGCGCTGGCACACCGGGTTCTAGTCCCTGTCGGGGCACTGGATTCTGTCCTGGTTGCCCCTCTTCCAGTCCAGCTCTCTGCTGTGGCCCTGGAGTGCAGTGGAGGATGGCCCAAGTGCTTGGGCCCTGCACCCACATGGGAGACCGGGAGAAGCACCTGGCTCCTGGCTTCGGATCAGCATGGTGCGCCGGTCACAGCACGCCAGCTGCAGCGGCCACTGGGGGGTGAACCAATGGAAAAGGAAGACCTTTCTCTCTGTCTCTCTCTCTTTCACTGTCTACTCCGCCTGTCCAAAAAAAAAAAAAAAATCAGAAGCTTACTTCAAAATGTTTGTGGGGAACAATTAAAAGACAAATTTATTTTGAAGAAATTTTGAAATCCATATATATGAGGGGTCTTCAAAAAGTTCATGAAGAATGTGTATTGTGAAAAAAAAAAAAAGTATTCATGGTCCAGCATTGTGGTGAAGCAGTTAAGCTGCCACCACCTGCAGTGCCAGCATCCCATATGGGTGCTGATTGGAGTCCTGGCTGCTCTACTTCTGATCCGGCTCCCTGCTAATGCGTCTGGCAATGCAGAGGAGAATGGTCCAAGTGTTTAGGCCCCTGCACCCATGTGGGAGACCCAGATGAAGCTCCTGGCTTCTGCCTGGCCCAGCTCTGGCTGTTGTGGCCACTGGAGAATGAACCAGCAGATGGAATACCTCTTTTTCTGTCTCTCCCTGTCTCTCTGTAACTCTTCTTCTCAAATAAATAAATACATCTATACAAAAATAAACTAAGCATGCATTTCAAACTTTTTGTAACAAAAAAGCTTATCCTTTACTTATTTTTTATTTTGAGAGGCAGAAAGGGAATGCCGCTGTCCACTGGTTCACTCCCCAGATACCCATAACACACAGGGCTAGGCCAAAGTCAAAGCCAGGAGCTGGAAACTCCATCCAGGTCTCCGTGTGAGTGGCAGGAACCCAATGACTTGAGCCATCACTGCTGCCTCCCAGGGTCTGTATTGGCAGAAAACTAAGAATCAAGAGCCTGAGCCAGGAATCGAACCAAGCACCAAGCACTTTTCTATGAGGCGGGGGCATTGTAACCACTGTTCTAAATACCCCCTCCCTAAGTTTGTCTTTAATTCTGTTTCTCCTTGAACTTTTTGAAGCATCCTCAAACAGTGTAATACTTGCAGGTGGGAAGGCCCCTGCTGTGAGCATGTTAACACTTAACCTTGGTAGTCAGAGGAAATGAACTTGTGTGTGTGTATGTGTGTGTCCGTTTCACAGCCAGACCTGTGGGCGCAGCTGAACAGAGTCCTCCAAAGTGGTAAGCTTTGTAGGTCAGTGGACGCGGGTACACTGGGAAGATGCAGGGTGGCTCTGTTTGGAAAGGGGCCGCAGCGCTCCTGGTGTTGCTGCTCATTTGGCCTTGAACTGAATAACATGCAAATGAGCACCTGGCTCTGAGTCAGCCGTGAGTAAACCTCGCTGCGGGAGGCTGGGCCCTGAATCCCTGAGCACTCTCAGCCTCCAGGCCTCCCCGCTGGCTGGGGAGCTGCCCCCACGCCGGCTGCCCTGACCCTTGGCTGTGATGTGCGCTGGGCTGCCCTGCCCAGTCCCAACCTCAGGTCAGCCCAGATGCCTGCTGCTCCTGCCCCAGCCAGCACTGCGCTGAAGCCTGGGGCCTCTCCACTGCCTGGGGCCTTG